GCGGCTGTAATTTCTTTTGTTTTATAATCTATTGAAAGCGAAGAGAAGGTGGCCAGGCAGAGAAGAATAACGAAGCAATACACACTTTTTGGCATTTTCAATAGCTTTTAGGTATGACTGCATGGGCTGCTTAATGAGTCTTTCCCACTTTATTTTACATACAGCTCCTCAGAAGTCAACAGTTGGTTCACACATAAGGGGGCGCCTTTATTGCACTCCCTGCTAATTAAGTGAATAATTGCCATCCTGGTTCAGTGCTAAGGTTGGTCATCAGAGATTAGACTCCCTCAGGCTACTCATAAATGGCCAGCCAAATGGTCATGAAAATCATCCCTTTGTCATTTTTAACCATCTTTCTAATGAGTCAAATCAAAAAGTGTTGATGGGTAATTACTTTACTTTGATTCAGTTCTGAGATTTTTTTTTTAACTCGGTTTCTGCATTTCTGTTTGAATCAGTCTATATCCTGTCCATACCTAAAGCCAGCCGGATGATGGCTAACAGTAAAACCACTCAGTTAATATTCGACAAAGAAGAACATAGCCCTTCCCCTTCATCTTAGGGTGATCCCAATTAAAATTGTTTTTCTCTGAGTTTGCAATTTACCTTAAGAGAGAAGCTTCTATTGCAGCCAATGGAGGAGGAGAACTGTGTTAGCTCATGATGACACAAATCCCACAACTTAAACCCCTCAAATGCATTATTGATATGCCACAGCCAATCTTGGACAATGACACCATTCTTTCTAAGGCATTGGGTGGCAAGCCTAAATTTGCATACAGACAGCCGCCCAACCTGGAGCAGATTCACGCAAACAATGAGAAACAACAAGACAATGTCACTAACGTGGGAACCAGACTCTGCAACAAATGCAGATGTTTACTGTGCCCTTACATCTACACTGAGAGCACCATCATGAGCCCCAAGAAGTACTCAAAAACGATAATAGGCAACATGACATGCTGTTCTTTAATGTGGTATATGCCATCACCAGTGAACAATGTCCGACTGGATTTGACATAGGACAAATGAGGCAAGTTTTGCTCAAAAGAATTAATGGACACAAGTTTGACCTCAGGACTCAAACCAAAGACAAAGCAATATCATTTTTATTGAGTTACTAGCTGGACACCCGTGCTTCACTATGAAACTATGTGCTTGGGCTTGATAAATTGACACTTGCAGCCTGAAACTTAATGTAGAATGTGTAACTCTGTAGCATCAGAGTGTGTTAATATAATGCAACTGGCAGTTGGAACAGAGGGGGAGAGGGAATAGAATGTCCCAGCCCACAGCATCCATTGGTATTCATCTGGCTAGCATCCTATCAGTGTGTGTGAGAGAGTTGAGGGGTGTTTGGAAACTCAAACAGTATTTGCTGTGTGAGCAAGAAGGAGACAGGAAGAAGGATGGGCATGGCTTAGCTCAATTGTTCTGTAGTGAAGCTGCTTGCTGCTGTGAAAGTAAAACTGAAAGTGAAACTCCTTTCCTCTGCTTGTATTTTGCATTTGGAACAGATTTCTTTTGAGATGGGGAGGGGGAGTAGAACTCCTTAGCATCAGAGCGTGTTAATAATAATATAGGAAATACTAATGCTCTGATGGTCATTTTGAAAAATCCTTTCTTAGTGAGCATCTAGAATCCAAGAGGAACACACATGGCAAATTTCAAGTTTGTAGGCTTTACGGTTCTGGAGATTTTGTGATTAATGCGTGAGTGGTTTTTGCTTTTATGTATATAGATAAAATACAAAATACAAAGTAAATAGGAAAGCAGTGAGTGGGGGGGAAAGGGGAAAGGGAAGTGAGGAAAGATAAGAAAAAAAGAAAAGAAAAAGAAGCATTGACTTTCGACTCTCTCTGTTACAGTAAAATAAGGCAGTAACATCAAATCACAACTTTTTGCTTTTTCATAATAATATGAACAAGCCATTTCTATAAAGATCTATCAGTCTAACTGGTAAAATCCAAAGTCAGAGTTTCATTCTTTTCCACATCAAACACGAAGTTCAGAAGCGGTCTCCATGTGGAAACAAAAGTATTTATACTCTTTTCAAGACAAAGCAGTATCAAAGCCCTTCATTCTCCCAGGATACTCCACAGCAGATCTCAAGTGATTGTTTTGGAAAACTGGGACTTTAACTCCATCAACCTCCATAGGTTGTTGAACTCACATACATCAAAAGATTTCACAATGAGTTTTTAATATATAACAATTGTTAACTGATAAGATACTGTTAATCGGTCTCACATGTAATCTGCATCTACAAAACTTCCCCTCCCTTCCGCCTTTAAATCCTACCTCCATCTAGTACTCTACTGGTGAAGTGAACTGCACCTCACGAAAACTTCCATCTTATAATAACAAGTGTTAGTTGGAAAAGATGTTACCAGGCTCCTCTTGATATTTTTGCTCTCCGTGAAAAGTTGCATTTCTACCACTGTGGGAATGGGGTGAGTTCTGGATTTTTTTCCCCACTTCAGAAGTATTTTTGAACTTT